GACTTGCCCCTTTTTTTATGGGACATTGTTTTCTGGCCCTGGCCACCCCAGAAGGGAGCGCCGTCCCACCGGGTGTAGGGCCTGGCGTTATCTTTCCTCGTGCCTCCCCACTTCACAATGGTGGTCGGAGCCCCCTCTTAAGGGACGTGGATTACAGACCTTGCAGCCTGCGCTGGCCGGTTCCCTGTTAATGAATTGAAACCCTTCTGGGAGGCTACCGAGTAGCTCGTTTGTGGCATACGACTCATTGGCCCGCCTCCTGGCGAACCCGCCGCGCAGGGGGCCCTGGCCCACAAATTATATAGTGATTGTATATAACACCAGCGCGCTGCTGTAAACAACCTCTCATTCGTTCCTATGCTGCTCCGCTGCTTTCTAAAGCGCATGCCTCTTGCATACCTAGACTGCTTCTCGCGACTCTCACTTGTGACATCTATCGGTTGGGTCCATCCTGCGCCCCCATTACCAACCGCTGTGCGCTTCCATCGTTGAATCACCCCGCACGGTGAAGGTTATTCCCTGCCTTATGTCGGAGTCTTCGCCCTGCTTCGCTCCTTCCTGACCGAAGTGCGCTCGCTATTTTCCGGATGTGCTTTCTCCCTCGGAATCTCTTCTGATTACTAGGGAACTACTCCACTGCTGAACTTTTCAGAAGTTGCCGCTGCGTTCTTCTTCTACAAGCTAGCCTGAGCGATGGCACCTGGAGCGGCAAAATTTCCGCCACTCATTCTATTGTACCCACCACCCACCCCTTGACCCCCACCCTGCGCAATGAGGTCTCATACATCCCGTTTATGAATGGTGTGTCTTTTTGTTCCGTCTATGTTTGTCTATAATCCGAAAATCTATGGTTCTGGGTCATGCCCGTGTAGAACCATGTCCATTTTAGTACGCCATGGGAGAGGGTTTGTTCTCTGATGATCCGGTGGGATGAAGACCGGTGAAAAGTACTTTARAGCGAGCTTCATCGACCTCTATCCATGCGTCGGTCTCTTGGGGCCGTTTGACTAAAATGGGACCTTACTCTATGTCT